CACAATATATTAAATAATAATATATTAGTTGAAATATGGATTAGATGCGCTTTAGATCTCAAAAGAACAGAAACAAAAAATAGCACCGTGTTGGACTTGTGACTCACCACCCCTCCCACTCGGCATCATCATCTTACTCCCTGTTTTTGGCAAGGCAGCTTTCGAACATAATCACATGATTATAAGCATGTTCAGAAAAATATTTTAAATCTGTAATTCCTTTCCTTTGCTTCGGAAGTAATTGTTGTTGTTTATTTCAAATAATACATGTTTTGAATTAATTTTCAATATCAATTAAAAATCGTTTCTAAATTTATATTGTGTCATAGTTTGAGTTGTGAGTCATTGTGAGAGGGTAATTCTTATCGAAATGAAATAGTGATTAAACTCCATAAAATATGTACATCAATGAATTGGCGACCTTGTGCATCGTCGTCGGCGAAGAATGGGAGTGGCGTGTGTGTCTCTCGTGATTGCGACTCCACGTCCACTGCATCCGCCCGCGCACTATCTTTCCGCGCGGTGGCGCGCGACGCTGTCCCCTCCCACTCCTCAAGACAGGACAGGCGCGCTCTCCTCTCGCCTGCCGACCGGCCTATAGATGTCGCAGCGCAGACGAAGTTCCGAACAGACCGATTTGCAAAAGAGTTTCTGCTTCTGTTCATCGATTGATTCATTATACCATAGCCATCATGTCATTCACAGACCATTCATACCCTACCATCATTGTCATTCCCCATTCATACCATACCATCATTGTCAATTCACCCAATTTTTCCATTAAACCATACCATCATTGTCATTCACCCATTCATACCATACCCATCATTGTCATTCACTCCATTCATACCATACATCATTGTCATTCACTCCATTATACGCCATACCATCATTGGTCAATCACGCATTCATACCACATATCCACATTGTCATTCACCCCATTCATACCATCGTTGTGCATTCATCAACATCAATTGTCATTCATTTATTCATTCGCTTATATCTGAATCCAGGGTCAAAGTACTATAGTCACTGACCCTCACGAGTGATCTAACGATCAGCAATGACAGCGATTGAAGACGTTTTATATAAAATTATGCAAAGAAAATGGAATGAGAGGCAGGAGGGAAACGAAGAGACTCTCAAAAACTTACCGAGAGTTCGCTTGCGCCATACATTCCGACACTAGTTCGTCGGGATCGAAAGGGCCCCGGTCGTGGAAAATGTTGTGCTAGCCAATAGTAAATGGCACATGTCCTACCATACGTCGTGATGAGATCGCGTACTCGCTCATCGAAGAATAGTCCGAACGCGATATGAAAAGAGGATGTGCGTAAGTAAGGGGTAAGTTGTTATGAAATATGGTAACTCAACAAGGGACTCGATTTTAATATGAAATAATGAATAAAAAAGCTTTCATTTTATCGAAATTTCATTTTAAGAATCACTTCGCACCATTCTCTACAGACAATTTCTCATCAACTCGAAAATCTGAACGTGCAGCATCAACTCCATCATATTATAACGAGAGTATGCCACTCCATTATAATTATTAAAGAGTTATTTCATTGCGATTTCAATAAACTTAACCTCTGAGTAATCTTATCCTCAAGAATTTGTCCTCCAACTTTTTTGGTTTCATAACCCTCTGGCAGACCAGAGGAAAATATACTAAATTAAACTAATGTGTCTTAATAAGCTGAAATAGTTATTCGTTGATATACGCGGCGAGGGGTTGCTACATTGTATAACAATGAAATTGATGACTTTAGAGTTTTTATTATTAATGAGAAAACCAACTTTCACTGGCTTAACCACCTTTGCCTTGATTCTTAAGTCCCACGAGAGAGATATCAAAACTCATCAAAGAAGATCGAGATAATATCTACTTAATACAAATCTTTAGAAGAGCCGACGTTCGTTAGGGGTAGGAGGCCCATAACGTTTTTGGACTCCAGAAATTGTGTGTTAAAGAGTCCCGTTTCGGCCTTATATATATCCTTAACAACCTCGTAGCTTTTTAACAAGTATCGCGAAGAGCACTTTCCTTAAGCGGTAACATCATATTATATAATTGGTAATGTATAACTTTGAATAAATGATCTTGTTCAATCATTCTAAAAAAAGACCAAAGAATAATTATACCAACTAATTATTTCTGTAAGGTTAAGGTTGTCCAATCAAATACAGTCATGTACTTCTGATACACAGAGTGTCTCAGATAAATAGCAGAAACTATTTGGGGGTCCCGAACGTTCGAAAATGAACACTTTTGGCCAAATAAACATATAAATGGAAAAATTACATTAAAGGGATCTGCCCCTGAATGTTAGCAATATCTTATACACATGTGTTTTTGCATATAAGATCACGTTCTGGCGCAATTAAGTACATTCCATGCCACCTGAGCCGAACACCATACATACGAGTTTCACCTTTCTACGCGACCAAAATATCGCATTGTAACTCGGCAGTTCAATCGTTCATTGGCCAAAGTAACTTCTACTACTCTAAACGGCCCAGAAACTTGCCAACAATTTATTCTGAGACACACTACATGTTTGCACAATATTATGTAAATAAAAACCAAATAAGTGTTCTGTTTATTTAGTCAATAAACTTTCAAAATACAGGTAAA